ATAAATAATCTAGCTCACTCATATACTACTATTCTTTGGTATTTAAAGTAGAATTGCTTTCCCCAAATACTTTAATATTTTTCTCCATTGAAATAGCGGAATATTTATTTTCAGTAGGAGAAAGAATATATATAGTAATATTGGCAGCACCATGATAGATGGAGAAGAGATTGAGGTTGTTAATAGTGACAGCTTGTTTGGCTCCACAGTCAGTTCAAATGTCAGTACAAGTGAATCAGATAAGTTTTGCTTCTTTTATAAAAACTCATTACTGACTTAGAGTTGACCCTACAGTGGGGTTTTGGAGGCTGTAAATTGCTTGGAGGAGATTGCCTATCTTTCTCCCAAGGAGTCACTGGTACAGCTATTGAGTTAGCTGTGAATGTCTGTAAGGATGTTTTCAGGGTTTTTTTGACTTCTGAATTAAAGATTGTTGTTGTTGTTGTTGTTGATTGCCTTCAAGTTGAGCACAACTCATAGCAACCCAATGAACAAAGGGCCTGAAGTCCCTCTACAACTATTGACATTTATCAAAGTTCATAGTTTCTGGAGGCAAGCTCTTTAGGAAGTGTATGCCACTCTTGCTTGCAAATCTGTCATAGAATGTTATTTGTTGATTTGCTTGTGATGCATAGCGACCCTATGGACGGGAGCTCTGAACCTTTCCCTGTCCTGAGCCAGTCTCACTAATTCTGACACACCAATCTCTATTGCCTCAGTTACTGTATCAGTCCATCTCCTGTGGCGTCTTCCTCTCCTGTGCTGTCCCTCCACCGTTCCAAGCATGATGTCCTTCTCCAAGGACTAATCTCTCCTGGCCACATGCCCACAGTAAGTGAGGTAGAGCTAACCTCCAAGAAGAGACTTGATTTTTCACTGTCTCTTAAGACAGACCTATTTGGTTTTTTGTCAGTCCATGGTATGTTAAAGACTCTTCCCAAGCACCACAATTTGAAGGCATCCATTTTTCTTCTGTCATCCTTAGTCATTGTCCAAATTTCTGACGCCTAACAAGTAATTGAGAAAACCTTGGCCTGGATTAGGTGCACCTTTATATCTAAATTGGCATCGTTGTTCTTCAGCACTCTGGAGAGGTCCATGACAGCAGATTTTCCCCAATGCAGTTTATCTTTTGATTTCCTGACTGTTGGTATTGAGTGTTGATTGTGGATCCCAGCAAGCTGTAATTGCTAACAACCTCAATCTTCTCCATCTGTTATGGTGCTGCCAATTGGCCCAGTGATGAGAATCTTTGTCTTCTTGATCCATATTGAAGACTATAGTTCTTGACCTTTTGCAGCAAGTGCTTCAGGTCTTCTTCAATTTCAGCACGCAGGGTTGTGCCATCTGCATATCGTAGGTTAATAAGTCTCCCTCCAATCTTGATGCAACACTCCTCCTCATAAAGCCCTGCTTCCTGAATGATCTGTTCTCTGTACAGATTGAAAAGGTATGGGGACAGGATGCATCCTTGATGCACTCCTTTCCTGGTTTTAAACCACACGGTGTTTCCTTGCTCTGTTCTGAGGACTGCTTCTTGGTCCAAGTATAGGTTTTGTATAAGCATGATCAAGTGTTCTGAGATTCCCATTTACCTCAAGGTTATCCACAACTTACTATGATCCACACAGTCAAATGCTTTTGCATAGTCAATGAAACACAGATAGACATTATTCTGGTACTCTCTGCTTTCTGCCATGAGCCATCTGACATTGGCAATAATGTCACGACCTCTTCTAAACCCAGCCTGTATTTCTGGTAGTTCTCTGTCAATGTACTGTTCAAGTTGTTTCTGGGTAGTCTTCACCAGGATTTTGCTAGTGTGTGATATTGGTGATATTGTACGATAATTTACATACCCTGTCAGGTTACCTTTTTTTGGAATGGGAATAAATATGGATCTCTTCCAATCAGTTGGCCAAGTAGTTGTCCTCCAGATTTATTGGCACAACTTGGTGAGCACATGCAGGGCAGCATCTGTTTGCTAAAAGACATCAACTGGTATTCCATCAATTCCTGGGGCTTTATTTTTTGCCAAGTTCTTCAGAGCAGCCTGAACTTTCTCCTTCATCACCATTGCTTCTTGCTTATATGTTGTTTCTTGAAGTTCTTGTGTCAGCCAATTCTTTTTGGTACAGTGACTCTGTATGCTCCTTCTGTCTGCTTCTAATGCTTCTTGAATCCTTAAATATTCTGCCCATAACATCCTGTGCCACAGCAGAAGTCTGGAGACTTAACCTCTAGAGAGGGTTGAACATGGAATGTCTGGACTGGAGGGATCCAGACACAATTGTGAGTGCTGTACTGAAAACACTGAAGGGTGAGCTTAAAAACACCATTCCACATTTGGTGCCCCAAACACTCAGGCCTAGCCCCACCAGACAGGATCTTGGAATATTCTTCTCTGGGAGCACTGACCAGTCTAACAAGAACGTCTTAAAGTCACTGAGTTGGGCATTGCCCCTAAAATGTCCATGCAGATCTAGTATGTGAACCTGTGTCAGTAATCCTCAGGCATTCAGAGCTTTTGGCTAGCCCATTACAGGCCTCACTTTCAGTCCTGGGCCAAGAATTAGCAGCTTTCTGGGAAGTGTTCTGAATGCAGAAGAGAGCAGAAGAAGCGAAGAGGGGGGAAAACAGCTTGGAGGAAACAAACAAAAACTGCCAAAATTCTCAGAAATATGAGGATAGAGCATTCTTGAAACAGAAATAGGATGCTAAGATAAAAAGGAACACTTGGATGACATAAAAGAGCTCTTGACATTAAAAGCATGATGGAGAAATAATTCCAATTTTTAGTTTAGTGGTTATATTCATAACAACATGCTTGTACTGCTATTTTTTTCTTGCTTGTCACTTTAGACATTATCTTGCCATAAAAGATCAACACATTTCAAATTGCTTTTTCTTCACATCTTCTTTTCATATATTTGCTGTTGTCAGGTGCCTTTGAGGTACCCTATGAATAATAGGTCTGAACTCTGCTCTAGCCTGTACCGTCCTCGTTTTTTTTACATACTTGATCACATTGCTGGAGTGTCAGTCCATCTGGTGGAGGGTTTTGTAGTATATACATCTTATAAGAGATATTATTTGCCTACAGCCTTTAAAAGATTATAGTTAAATATCTGTTTCTTGTTTTACTAACTGTAAATAGGATCAGTTTCACTTGTCAACTCCATTCTGTTCCTGTCTACTCTAGCCTCAGATGTTTTATTGTCTAGAATCACATAGCAAGATACACCAGTTTGGTAAATATTCATATAAATTCTTAAATTTTTATTTTTATTTCCTAGGATTCGTGGTAAGTTTTACAACTTTTTGGAGGGCCGGTCTGGATGTGTGCTGAGCCCTGGTAACTGCTGATGTAGCTCTACACTGTTAGCACAGTGAGAAATATGTTTTATTGTATGTCGTAATGTTTTAAACTAAATTGACTTCCTTAATAATCTGAACTAAGGTGTTTTCATTCTTGATCTAGGCTGTTGACAAGTACTTCAAGCTTCCTCATGCGTCCAGTAAACCACCTCGGATTTCAGAAAGCCTTGTGGACACTTCTTATAAAACATTAAGATTTGCATTCAGAGCATCATTAAAAACTGCTATCTATAGAATAACTACTACTTTTGGTGAACATCTGAAGTAAGTATACCTCTTTTGATCCATCATGGTAGTCCACTTTCAGGCATTCCCCTTGAAAAAGATGTGTGAGTATAAAGGCTCACATGTTGAAAGTAGGAATCTTAATGATTGTTACTGTGGATTGGCAGAGTGCATTTAGATATATTTTAAATTTTAGCCTATCCATATAAGCCTTGAGACTTCATTTTAGATGGAAAAAAGAGAAGACAGAACATTTTGAAAGCAGCAAGTGTAGTTATATATTGTTATTTTAAATTGTCAAAATATCATTAAGAAAGAAATAAAAAAAGGAGAAGGGAAGCAGTTTTTCAGAAAGAACAGAAAACCATTCTGCCATTACATCTTGGTTAGCAAACTAAGACCTAGGGTGAGCAGAGTATTCCATAAATGAGTTCTGGACGCTCTGTGAATCATGCTGGAAAAACACTGACAGATCATACCACCTTCAAAAGAGAACCAGAGAGGAAACCACAAACCAAACTTGTTTATATTTAGTCTCATTGATGTTCTTTCATGAAATGGTCTAGGTATGCAGGATGAGAGAAACGAGTTTATTAGCTAATGATTATCATAATTACAAATGAACTTTAGAAGACATGACAGATTACTCTGGTTTTCTCTGTTTGAAATTAATAGATAGTTTAGAACTTCCTCATGCCACTTTGGAAGCAAGAGTGGCATCCACTTCCTAAACAACATGCCTCTGGAAACTCCATGAACTTTGATAAATGACAATAGTTATAGAAAGGCTTCAGGCCTTTTGATCTTAAGGTCGTTATGAGTTGTGCTTGACTCGATGGCAATCAGCAATAACAACAACATTCCACTTCCTTTGAGAAACCGTAGGATAGATATTTTTTCTTTCACTTTGCCCTTTATTACAGGGCAGCAGCAATATTTATGGGACATTTTTGATTCTCTATGAGACTACAAAAACTAGGTGATCCTGTGTGCTTAAGAACTTTATTGATTTATTTGAGAACAAACATAACTTTATTCTTTATTATATGCCTGCTACATTCACACTGGCCAATATACTATGTATGGCTGTTTAAATAAAAAATTAATTTTGTCAGTCATGCTAGCCACATTGTAAGTGCTCAGTAGCCGTAGGTAGCAAGTAGCTACCATGTTGAGCAGCACAGATAAAGAACAATTCTTATGTTGAAGAAAGTTTTATCAGACAGTATTGATGTCGATAATCAGCTTAACAATTTATGTATTTTTTTCATTAATATTTCTCAAAGAGCCTGTGAGGTATACAGATAGATGATCATAATTGTACTGATAAGGGGACTCAGGTTCCAAGAGGTTAAGAAATTGCCTAACAGCATAATCTTGTACATAATAGAACATAAACTAGAAATACAGTCTTCTTGGCCTTAAAAATCCATTTTCCTTTCTTTTATAGCATTAAGATTGCCAGTAAGATGTAAATGGCATCTAAGATGCTCTCAAAGCATTCATTAATAAATTCAAAGACTGGAATAGATGTTATACTGGTGATAAAATGAAAAGAAGAACATTAAGAGAGAGTAGACAACTGATAAATTCTGCCTTCGTTTCTTAATCTGTGAGAAGGGCCATACTTTATATATGCAGTGAAACTGGTGAGGCTAGTAGAGAGTGGTTTGTGCAAATATAGCACAAAATCATACAATGGAGAAAATATATTTGAAATGAAAATACCTGCTTTAAGTGTCATTATATCATTGATCATGTGACTAGACAAGTCATAGAATGTTGTGAAGGAACTAGACTCAAATTATGTAGCCAGTAAATGGTAGAATTAAAATTTAGACACAAATCTTTCTACTCCTTAAGTCCTATAATGCTATACTCTTAACCAGTAGACCGAGTTGTCTAAGGTCTCAGCTGTGAAAAAGAGATACAACTAATCCTACTTTGCTTCCTTTGGTGTTAGCAAAGATAAAATGAGGTCTTACTTAAATCCATTATACATGGTACAGTATTATGGCAACAGTTATTATTATTGTATGTAATAATTAACTGTGTTCCCCGTATTCACTTCCCAAAACTTGACCTTCAAGATCCAGGTGTAAGTAATAAGTAAGTTCACGTTATAAAAATGAACACAGGTGACTGTTCACTGGAGACAGACATTCAGCCCTTATTTACTCTTCATTTAGTTGAATTTGATTAACTGGTTTTCCATCCTATGTCATATTCAATTTGAGGGAAAGAGGTGTCTACTAGAGCCAGCAATAGAACAATAGTTAGGGATAGATCACTGTCTTGGCAAAGCAGCAGACTGGGGTTTAAGAGACCCACTGCCATTTAGCCAGAGCCTGAACAGCCTCACTAGCACCTCAAGGGCATCTATGCACAGTAAGATTCTTGAAATGGTTACATGAGAGGTAGCTTTGGGTTTAAGAAAGCGGACGTGTGTAAGGCATTTTAGGGATGATTTCTAGGAAAATTATTAAAACTTGGCACTTTAAAAAGTGGTAACCTTTAGTTATCTGGAATTTTATTTTTTAGTAATGATATATTACTGTTTAGGAACTAGAAAACCACAATCTTTTATTGGATTCAACTTCTCTCAAAAGTTTAAAAGGACGTTTTATATTAGTTTCAGTATATATTTGCCCTAATTCTGTCAAGGTATTTTTGTGGCAGCAAAGCTAGGGAGAGAACTCCGTTTCACCATCAAGACATAACTTATGTTCAAAGAGAAAAGTAAATCTAAACCACCAAGCTGTTACCTTTGAAAACGATTAGTGGAGTCTATTGTGTTTTAACCAAACATTTTAGTTAAAAGGATTTTATATAAAGGCAATTCAAATGCTCCACAACTCAAAGATAATGTTGGGATCTGGTTTAAATAAAATAATAAAATCCAGAAAATCTCGTGAAGGGCTGGAACTCTGCACAGCAGGTCCCACAGCGCAGCAGGTTAAAGCTGATGCCTTCACTTGTCACTCTTCATTTTCTTTGGTCTTTTAGAAGGTAGAAACATGCCATTACAGAATGCAAGTCCTCCTCATTAGATTATGGAGGGTTTTCTCTCCAGCTTTTTTCCCCTCAGAATTACTAAGTAAGTGAAGATTTCTATTCATTTTTAATTGTTTTGAAAAATATTGACTCTGTGCTCTGTGGCTCACTTAATATGCTTAATGTAAAATAAAGCTTATGCTTTGAATTTATGTTTCATTTAGTGCTGTGCAAGCATCTGCAGAACATCAGAAAAGACTTCAACAGTTCTTGGAGTTCAAAGAATAGTTAAGTAATATAAACTGTGTTCATTACACTGCTGATACAACTACAGATGGGACAGTAAATGTTCAGCATTCTTGGATCAGAAGAAAATGGACTAATTAGATGCTTCCTTTGTCGTGGTGGTTGCTTTGAAAACTATACTTTAATGGGAGAAATCATGGAAAGAAATTCTCAACAGCATAACCAAAAACTGCCTTTTCTGAACCGATTGCTTTTTGTGTGTGTGGTATAATAAAGTCTTTATTCAATTTTACAGAAGCCTATATGGCAGTGGAAATGTCTCTAGCTCATATGACTTAATAATAATAAAAACAACTTGAAATGTTTGCATTTACTTTTGAGAGGAGTAAAGCCAGTTTGACTTGATGCAATCTTCTTTCCAATCATCCTAAAAGTTTTTAGCTCTATGAATATGAAGTACATGAACTGTTTTAGAGTAGTTTCTGTTTACTGAAGGATAAAAATGGTAACAGTGGAGAAAAATTCACAGAAAAAATATTGTCTAAAGGACATATTTTGTTAATCTGTTAGGTTGTGTTTTTGTTTCCAGGGACAAATTAAATTTGCATGATTGTCCAAAGGAAAAAAAAAAAGTCTCGATTTACAGATGCTAACTCTATATAAAGGAATGTGGAAAAATTTAGTTCTTAAGTTACAAGATTAAACATGCACATTTGGTTTCTAAAAAAATAAGTGACTGACATCTATGCATTTACTTTGTATCATGCTAGTAAACATTAAGTGGATGGATATTTTCCTGACTAGTTTTGCTTTCTTTTTCTAGAACAAAACATTAAAAGATTGCAGAGTTCTTCAAGTGAGAGGAAAAGTTTTGCAAGAAAATCCAGGAAACTTTTCCTTTTCTCTTCCACTCTTCATTAGATCAAACTATTTTATTAAAGTTGTCTGTCTTCCCAGAGGGAGCAGCCTCTGCTGTGTTAACTGGCTAATTAAAATATATTAGGAAAAATATTTTGGCCAAAATTTCTGTTTTTATTTACTCACCAAATAGAAAGTGAGACCAAAATGTCAGAGGATGACTACTGTACTTGGGCGTGTGCTCACTGTCCAAAAGAGGAGCTAGGTAATTTTATAATTTATTAGAACAACTTTTTGTGTTCAGAGTTTAGAAAATCCTACTGGTTCCTATTCATTGGACTAGCCTTTGACTGAAAGTCTCCTGGGTAATACTTTTCCCCCCTTCTTTCTAATGCCCCCAATTTTTCTTTTACATCAGCATAGTGTTGTATATGCATCTTTAATGTGATATATATGTCTACCATTTGTCTGATTCCTTGATAGCTCTGTCCTCAGAATAGAATATGTCAATTCCAGATCCTCTTGCCTGATGAACCTGCACATGCTGGATTATAAATGAATCCTGCTGGCCTTTCAGTCTCTGTCAGTTACCCAGTTGCCCAGTATTTTTGGGTTTTTGAGGCTGTTACCATTTACTCCCCCCCCCCCCTTGTGTCTGAAGTTAATGCTCTCTTTCTTAAATATGAAAGTTGAATTTCAGATGTGACAGTTTCTTACAGAAGATCAGAAAATTGTGACTAGAGTGACTGAAAATTGCTATGTTCCGTGTTTGGAGGCCATTGAGCTTTTTTTTGTTCCATTTTCTCTGGTGTCCGTGGCTGAAACATTTTGGGGGAAAAAAGACTCTTTAACCCAACCTGTTGCTATTAAAGATTTGTGGTATTTAATCCACTGCAGTACTGATGCTAAAGGTAGATTCATTTTAAGCTATGACTGACTTGGATAAAATAATCTGGTAGGTTTAGGTTCTTGTAATTTTCCAGATATTTTGGAGAAAGTATGCTAAATGTACATGTGAATGTTTATGATGTGTTCATCCCTGTTTTTTGTCTCAGGTGGATGCATTGTGGACAGAATCAGGCCACATAATTTCTGTCTGTTGGAGTTTCAGAAACTGCCTCTGCAAATCTATAATGTACTTGTTAGGTAAAGAGGATAGTTTCTTTTTACTGTTTGGTATTGATAATCATTATGCCATCTTTTTTTGGGCTTGAATGTGACTGAAAAGATAATTCCTATGTACCAAGAAGAGAAAAGTATTTCCTGATGCGGTCTTAGCCTGCCTGTGGGCCTGCAAATGCTATACATTGGCCAGAAAATTAGAGACTGTTCTTTGAAAGCCTTTCTCTGGCTGTTATGTAAAACATGATTGCATCAACTCTTGTAATGTTTACTTATGAAAGGTATAAATAAATCCACATTGCTTCTCTTTAGAGAACTGGGAAACTCCTAGAATAAACCTTGTTTACTTGAATGAATATTGATGGAGTGACTGACAGCTTATTACTTTGTTAATTTTGTTTCTCATTAGTGGTTTTGTGTATCTTTTTGTAAATATTTATGAGAATCTGTTTATATCCTTTTGTATCATCAATAATACTGAATTGGGTAGAAAAATAAATGGACAATTTTTGAAAAAAATGGGACAGATTGCAATATGTGTTCATGAGGAGAATGATTTTATTTCTGGGATGTGTATGTGTGTCTCTTTTATCAGTTTCAATTCAGTCTCAAAATCCTTGCTTATAAAACTTGGAAAGATTTAACTTCCTGAGAAATCTGCATTTGCTCTTAGTTGGACTAATTTGGTAGGTAATACCTGTTTAATTTGATGGGTAATCTGTTTAACTTGAAGGAACCTGAATTCTGAAAGCCTCTTCATTGCCTTGGTAGTCCCTTTTCCAAAATTCAACAAAAGGAGTGCAGGTGGTGAAAGCTATCTCTTCACAGAGGTTTCTTTTCTTGCCAAAATAGTGTTTCTAAGTAGATCATATTCCCTCAGGCTTCCAGTTATGTCTGTCAACTTTACTTAAATTAGTCTGAACTCTACCTCTGGTAGGAACCAAGGCTTCCTAGCTCTTCTACCCACATAGTCATCTTTCTTTAAAATGAAATAGATAAAAACTAAGATAGCTTTCATTCATCAGCAAACAAGCCAATTATTTTTAGCAAGCTGCTTGCTGCCATTTTTAAATACTTAAAATCTATTGTTTTGATGGACAGAATGGGGAAATGAACACACATATGCCTCTTGTAATTCTCAGCTGTTGTCTAAGCAGCCTTGGCAGTTGCTGTGGTCATGGGTAAGTTGAAGTAGAGCTAATGGAAACTTTTCAATGGGTGTCTGATAAGGCCTGGCTATCAGGCATAGATAGAACTGGGAACAAGATGTGGAAGTGGCACTTGAAGCTTGGTGTGTATCACAATCACACCGAGTGCTTATTAGATCTGCAGACTAAGCTGCATTTGAGATTCTGATCCAGGCAGTTTGGGCGGGCTCCCAAAAGATACAGTTTTTAACAAAGTGTACCAGATGTTTCTAAGCAGGTGGTCTAGACATCACACCCTGAGAAAGGTTTATTCTATGTCATTGAATCTCAATCCTTCCAGAGCTGGTAAAACACAGGTTACTGGGTACTATGTCCAGACTCTGGTTCTGTAGGCCTGGATGTGGGTCTCACAATGTCTGTTTCTAACAAGTGTCCAGGTGATGCTGCTCGGTGTCCTTGGACCCCACTGATACAACCACTGTCCTTGTGGATTTCCTCACATGGGATTTTTCTCTTAGATGTGTGTCTGAAGCATATTTATTATTTGCAATAGTATTTTTCCATCTAATTCATTTATTGGAAAGCTTGAACAATAATTCTGTTAGAATCCATAATGAAGGGAATGCTGACAAATATTATTGACCTGTTTTTGTAAAACCTATTTCAGAAATGATGACAACTCTGTCTTCCTGGCAAACTTACCACTTTTCAAGTTGGGCCTAGTCCTTATACATACTTCAAGCTGTATTTCAGGATTTGTTCCCCTTAATACTTGGCCATTCCTTCTTTTTGGCCTTATTATATTGAATTGTAACTTAATTAGTTAGAAATTTGCTTCCTTCCATAGACTGAGCTCCCTAACAATTTTCTGGAGTTACTTTACTTTTTATTTGTTAGCAAACAGATTCATAAACCCTTGTCTACAGTTCTGAAGTTGAGAGTTTTTTTGTTTTAAAATAATTAAGTTGGGTGACAAAATTTAGTTGGCAGCAAAAGCCAACCTGAACTAATATGAGGCTATTTATAAAATGAATTCCTTCTATATCAACTATTTATAGAATTAATTTGATAATGGATATGCTTACATATTTCACTGTAGAATGTTTGATTGTGAGACTTTTTCCCAGATCTCATTGTGTGTGTGTGAATGATGTAATATGCATCATTATTTCTCCAAAATATTAAATAATATTAGAAGCATCTGGCCTCAGGAATAGATGAGAAATTTTAATTTTTGTGAAATCTGCTTACTCATGCAACAGTTACTCACAGCCTGTTTTATTTCAGGCCCTGTAATAGATGGTACAGTCTTGCTCTCAAAGAGCTCATCATCATACATGAGAGAAGTAAGGTGGAAGCAGCCCATTATTTATAAAGAATAATTTTTCTACTTGATTTTTAATTCCTCTACAGACTTAACCATTTGCTGTTGCTACTTCACTATTAACAATATTGTAAGCAGTAGCTGTTGCTTACATTTGTGCCCTAAGATAGAGGCTATTTCTTCACCCAGCTTCTTTACAAACCTTTTTCAGCACTTAACACATCATGCCCTTAATTTCCTGGTGCTAGTCGCCTTTGTCCCTTTTGGAGAGTTGTGTGGCTGCATCTTGTTCTCAAGTGTTCATGCTCTCCCTATTATCATTTGTTACCATTGTTGAGCATGTCTTGCACTTGATCTTGCTAAGTTATTTTTGAGAGTCCTGTGGGATGTCTCTGGTAATGAAACACTGGAAGATGACCTTTATATCTCTCAACAAATTAATATGAATGGTCTGTTGATGCTGTTTACCATTGGGTTGGAACAGACTCTTGCCTGACCCTCTAGCGGGTTTTCGGAAGCAGTAACTTGCATGAGAGTTGACTGCCCATCTTTTTCCTGTAGAGCAGCTGGTGGATTTGAACCTTCTACCT